GCTGGCCGCATGTAAAGTAACATGGAACAAGATAAACAGGGTTAAAGATGGACACCAACAACCGCGTTAATTCCTGCCCAATGAACAACACTGCTTAGTGGTAATTAAATGGTTCTCCATTCTCTGACAGACTGCCTCCTGCCAGTGAAACATAAACCGTGCACTTTCTATAGTCGAGGGGGTTAAACACCACATTGCCACAGTGTTGTGTGATTTCTCTTAGCTTTCATGTGCCCATTAAAATAAATCTGGCGGGGTTGGTGCTCATATCTTGTATGTGCCAGCTGGCCGCCATCGGCACGTCGTGTGATTCGCTTGAGCTCACACCGCACAGTTTAATACACGTACTGTCATTTGGAAAGACGAAAAGGTGCCAATATGATGTCACTGACAAGGAGTGTTATAATTGAAACGCCGGACATACATAGCGTGTATGTATGTTATTACTTTTCTTATTCGTCTTTATGTAATTCAATTTTCATGTTCCTAATGTGTATCCAGCGTACAGCCCCGACTTAGCCCCTAGCGATTTCCACCTTTTATTTGTCCACTGAAAACCCACCTTGGCGGGAGGCATTTCGCAAATGACGCAGAAGTTAAATGTGAAGTAAACATGTGGTTTAGAAAACAGAGCACACAGCTCTACGCTACAGGTCTGGGAGGACTGATAAAACGATGGGATAAGTGCATCATTGTTGGTGGAAACGCTGACTCAGGGAATTCAATAAGTAAGTCACAAATGGTTATTTAAAAAAAAAGACAAAAGATGGTAACAACTTGAAAACCGTTAATTTTCTCACATTAAGTGTCCCTTAATTCTTCAACATAATTTCCCCAAACATTGATGCGCTTGTCCCATCGTTTTAGCAGTACTCCCAAACCTGTTGCCCAGAAGTGCGTGTCAAGGTAGGTTTTTCAGTGAACCAAAAAAGGCGGAAACTGCTAGGCGCTAAGTCGGGGCTGTATCATGGTATCCACTTTGAGCACACTTTCTTAAATTGCAATCGATCATGCATTATGTTGTATGCTGAACCATGTCAGCACATTGTTGTAGTTGCTACAGAGTCAACCGTTATTTGTCTGTTAGCACCCTAGTGCAGCTGCTACAGTCAGCCATTACTCGCCTGTCAGCACCCTAGTGCAGTTGCTACAGGGTCAACCGTTATTTATCTGTCAGCACCCTAGTGCAGCTGCTACAGAGTCAACTGTTATTTGTCTGTCAGCACCCTAGTGCAGCTGCTACAGGGTCAACCGTTATTTGTCTGTCAGCACCCTAGTGCAGCTGCTACAGGGTCAACCGTTACTCGCCTGTCAGCACCCTAGTGCAGCTGCTACAGTCAACCGTTATTTGTCTGTCAGCACCCTAGTGCAGCTGCTACAGGGTCAACCGTTACTCGCCTGTCAGCACCCTAGTGCAGCTGCTACAGAGTCAACCATTACTCGCCTGTCAGCACCCTAGTGCAGCTGCTACAGTCAACCGTTATTTGTCTGTCAGCACCCTAGTGCAGCTGCTACAGGGTCAACCGTTATTTGTCTGTCAGCACCCTAGTGCAGCTGCTACAGAGTCAACCGTTACTCGCATGTCAGCACCCTAGTGCAGCTGCTACAGAGTCAACCATTACTCGCCTGTCAGCACCCTAGTGCAGCTGCTACAGAGTCAACCGTTACTCGCCTGTCAGCACCCTAGTGCAGCTGCTAAAGTCAACCGTTATTTGTCTGTTAGCACCCTAGTGCAGCTGCTACAGAGTCAACCGTTACTCGCCTGTCAGCACCCTAGTGCAGCTGCTACAGAGTCAACCGTTACTTGTCTGTCAGCACCCTAGTGCAGCTGCTACAGAGTCAACCGTTACTTGTCTGTCAGCACCCTAGTGCAGCTGCTACAGTCAACCGTTATTTGTCTGTTAGCACCCTAGTGCAGCTGCTACAGAGTCAACCGTTACTTGTCTGTCAGCACCCTAGTGCAGCTGCTACAGAGTCAACCGTTATTTGTCTGTTAGCACCCTAGTGCAGCTGCTACAGAGTCAACCGTTTTTGTCTGTCAGCACCCTAGTGCAGCTGCTACAGAGTCAACTGTTATTTGTCTGTTAGCACCCTAGTGCAGCTGCTACAGTCAACCGTTACTTGTCTGTCAGCACCCTAGTGCAGCTGCTACAGAGTCAACCGTTACTTGTCTGTCAGCACCCTAGTGCAGCTGCTACAGAGTCAACCGTTATTTGTCTGTCAGCACCCTAGTGCAGCTGCTACAGAGTCAACCGTTATTTGTCTGTTAGCACCCTAGTGCAGCTGCTACAAAGTCAACCGTTACTCGCCTGTCAGCACCCTAGTGCAGTTGCTACAGAGTCAACCGTTACTCGCCTGTCAGCACCCTAGTGCAGCTGCTACAGTCAACCGTTATTTGTCTGTCAGCACCCTAGTGCAGCTGCTACAGTCAGCCATTACTCGCCTGTCAGCACCCTAGTGCAGCTGCTACAGAGTCAACCATTACTCGCCTGTCAGCACCCTAGTGCAGCTGCTACAGAGTCAACCGTTACTCGCCTGTCAGCACCCTAGTGCAGCTGCTACAGAGTCAACCGTTACTCGCCTGTCAGCACCCTAGTGCAGTTGCTACAGAGTCAACCGTTATTTGTCTGTCAGCACCCTAGTGCAGCTGCTACAGTCAGCCATTACTCGCCTGTCAGCACCCTAGTGCAGCTGCTACAGAGTCAACCATTACTCGCCTGTCAGCACCCTAGTGCAGCTGCTACAGAGTCAACCGTTACTCGCCTGTCAGCACCCTAGTGCAGCTGCTACAGAGTCAACCGTTACTTGTCTGTCAGCACCCTAGTGCAGCTGCTACAGAGTCAACCGTTACTTGTCTGTCAGCACCCTAGTGCAGCTGCTACAGTCAACCGTTATTTGTCTGTTAGCACCCTAGTGCAGCTGCTACAGAGTCAACCGTTACTTGTCTGTCAGCACCCTAGTGCAGCTGCTACAGAGTCAACCGTTATTTGTCTGTTAGCACCCTAGTGCAGCTGCTACAGAGTCAACCGTTATTTGTCTGTCAGCACCCTAGTGCAGCTGCTACAGAGTCAACTGTTATTTGTCTGTTAGCACCCTAGTGCAGCTGCTACAGTCAACCGTTACTTGTCTGTCAGCACCCTAGTGCAGCTGCTACAGAGTCAACCGTTACTTGTCTGTCAGCACCCTAGTGCAGCTGCTACAGAGTCAACCGTTACTTGTCTGTCAGCACCCTAGTGCAGCTGCTACAGTGTCAACCGTTATTTGTCTGTTAGCACCCTAGTGCAGCTGCTACAGAGTCAACCGTTACTCGCCTGTCAGCACCCTAGTGCAGTTGCTACAGAGTCAACCGTTACTTGTCTGTCAGCACCCTAGTGCAGCTGCTACAGTCAACCGTTATTTGTCTGTCAGCACCCTAGTGCAGCTGCTACAGTCAGCCATTACTCGCCTGTCAGCACCCTAGTGCAGCTGCTACAGAGTCAACCATTACTCGCCTGTCAGCACCCTAGTGCAGCTGCTACAGAGTCAACCGTTACTTGTCTGTCAGCACCCTAGTGCAGCTGCTACAGAGTCAACCGTTACTTGTCTGTCAGCACCCTAGTGCAGCTGCTACAGAGTCAACCATTACTCGCCTGTCAGCACCCTAGTGCAGCTGCTACAGAGTCAACCGTTACTTGTCTGTCAGCACCCTAGTGCAGCTGCTACAGTCAGCCATTACTCGCCTGTCAGCACCCTAGTGCAGCTGCTACAGTCAGCCGTTACTCGCCTGTCAGCACCCTAGTGCAGCTGCTACAGTCAGCCATTACTCGCCTGTCAGCACCCTAGTGCAGCTGCTACAGTCAGCCATTACTCGCCTGTCAGCACCCTAGTGCAGCTGCTACAGAGTCAACTGTTATTTGTCTGTTAGCACCCTAGTGCAGCTGCTACAGTCAACCGTTACTTGTCTGTCAGCACCCTAGTGCAGCTGCTACAGTCAACCGTTAATTGTCTGTCAGCACCCTAGTGCAGCTTCTACAGAGTCAACCGTTACTTGTCTGTCAGCACCCTAGTGCAGCTGCTACAGTCAGCCATTACTCGCCTGTCAGCACCCTAGTGCAGCTGCTACAGAGTCAACTGTTATTTGTCTGTTAGCACCCTAGTGCAGCTGCTACAGTCAACCGTTACTTGTCTGTCAGCACCCTAGTGCAGCTGCTACAGTCAACCGTTATTTGTCTGTCAGCACCCTAGTGCAGCTGCTACAGAGTCAACCGTTACTTGTCTGTCAGCACCCTAGTGCAGCTGCTACAGTCAACCGTTATTTGTCTGTCAGCACCCTAGTGCAGCTGCTACAGGGTCAACCGTTACTCGCCTGTCAGCACCCTAGTGCAGCTGCTACAGAGTCAACGGTTACTCGCCTGTCACCTTTAATCATCTCCTCCACCCGCTGCACGGATGCAATCTCAACACGGACGACCAGATCGGACTACATCTACGATCTAAAAGCGTCCTTGAGAAAAATTGTATAACCAGTTATCCACCGCTTTACGGGATAAACATTGGTCAGCATTTACAGGAAGCATTTCTTTATAAATATCGTTTGCAGGCAACCCTTCTGCCCCCCCCCCCTCCCCCGCTTAAAAAAAACGCACAACAGCACGTTGCTCTTTGAGCGTACACACTGTAAGTACAGTCGCAATTTTGTTTCTGTGTTGCGAATGTGTATGCAACACATAGCGCCACCTAACGAACGGAGACATAAAGTTCGATGTTGCTGTCACCTAATGACACCTTTAGAGACCACCAACTACATTTTCCTGCCATCTCTTTACCATTTATGACTTAATTATTGACTTCCCCTCTGGTACATTGGTGTGTCATTGCTTACTGTCGAACCCTGCTGCAGTCACGGTCTTCCTCAATCACAGTCAAACAGACACAACAACAAAAAACAGTCTTTCAGATGTATTACTTTTCTGCTCAAGCCTGGCAATGGTTTGCAATCGACGATCTAGCCAGACACTGTTCTACACACTCCAGTAGATAGTCACATTCTGTGTTAGAGGCAGTGCCGGAAGAACAATTTCCAAGAGCTAGGATAGAATAGAGTTTAAGACAAAAACATGATGAACATTTGTCACTATCTTAGATACAAGAGGTGGACTGAATACAAAGAGGGCCTATTTAGAGATAACAGAGGCATGAAACCATTTCTGTTTAATTTTCACAATGGACCAGACATTGAAGTGGAGAAGGTTATTAAAAAACACGAAGCGCGGAAAAGCCGTAGATCATGGAAAATAAAAACAACACGGAAATGACAAAATCATTATCCAGCTTTGCATTTGATACCGTCACTAGGAATGTGTAGTGATATTTATAATACTGGCTACATTTCAAACGACTTGAAAACGTCTATTTTTATCACACTGCCCAAAAAGACAAAAAAAAAAAAAAAAAAAAAACGTTGAATGTGAAGAATACGGAAGAATTAGTTTGATATTATTAAGATACTTATTTAGATCAAAAGAAAGAATTCAAAATAAAATAAGTAATGAAGTGCCTGAGGAAACGTTTGGATTTCGGAAAAATAAAGACACCAGGAAGCCGTATTTTTATCTAAAGATGTTGACTGAAAAATATACAGAAGTCCAGAAAAGTATTTATGCATGTTTCATAAATTACAATAAGGCCTTTGACAGGGTGCAACATGAAAAGCTGATTGCAGGCCTCCAAAATATAGGATTAGATGGAAAAGATATCAGAACTGTTTGTTACCTATATTAGGAACAAATAGCAACAGTCAGACACAACAACATCCCCTCACCATAGAGATAGAGATAACAAGAGGAGTTCGTCAGGCATGTGTCTTATCCCCAAACCTTTTAACGTATATACAGAAAACATTTTAAAACAGGCTGAAGAACTGCCTGGACTGAAAATTAATGGGAGAACAATAAACAATCTGAGACACACGGATGACACAGTGTTACTAGCAGACAGCGAGCAGGAGTTACAAGAACTAGTGGATCCAGTCAACATACGGAATGCAGAGTACGGTTTAGATATTAACATTCGACAAACAAAAACTATTGTAATTACCAACGGAAAAGAGCGGCCAACAGTGAACATCAGAGTCAACTGAGAGATGTTAGAACACGTGTCAATTTTATCCTATTTAGGCCACGTAGTTAACACCTGTGTCACACACAATTACCTGTTGGGTTTGAGTAAAAGTTAACACCTGTGTCACACACAATTACCTGTTGGGTTTGAGTGAAAATTAACACCTGTGTCACACACAATTACTTGTTTAGTTTGAGTGAAAGTTACCACCTGTGTCACACACCATTGCCTGTTTGGTTTGAGTGAAAGGCAACACCTGCGTCTCACACAATTACCAATTTGGTTTAAGTGAAAGTTAACACCTGTGTCACACACAATTACCTGTTCGGCTTAAGTGAAAGTTAACACCTGTGTCACACACAATTACCTGTTTGGTTTGAGTGAAAGTTAACACCTGTGTCATACACAATTACCTGTTCGGTTTGGGTGAAAGTTAACACCTGTGTCACACACAATTACCTGTTCGGTTTGAGTGAAAGTTAACACCTGTGTCACACACAATTACCTGTTCGGTTTGAGTGAAAGTCAACACCTGTGGCTGACCCTGAAGGTACACAGACTTGACCTTCTGACTGACACCTAAAACCTGGGCTGTATTAAAAATTAGATCATCCCAGTCTGCGCTAGGAACCCAATGTGTAACACTCACAGTCAGTGAATTCTGAAATGTAGATTCAACATTAATTATATTATTAATTGTGATACAATTAGTGAATTATGATTCTAACGACGATCCAGGAATTGCTTTACATTACCGTACAGACAGCAATTTGTTCAATTTGAGCAGGCTTCGAGCTACAACAAAAACTAAAACAACTACAATTAAGAACCTATTATTTGCTGACGACTGCGCTCTAAACTCCACTTCTGAGGCCAGTATGCAGCTCATTATCAATAGGTTTTCTGAAGCCTGTACCAACTTCGGGCTAACTATCAACACTGATAAAACTGTTGTTATCTATTAACTAGTTCCCAGAAACAAATTATGTTATCCCACTTTCACCGTAAATGATCAAAAGCTAAATGTAGTCGAGAGATTCACTTATCTTGGCAGTACCCTGTCTCAGAGAGTCAACATCGACAATGAGATCACCACTAGAATCTCAAATGCCAGCAGCATCTTCGGCAGACTTTATACCAGTGTCTGGAATAGAATTGATAACTCCCTGCTGACCAAGCTCAGGGTTTACAGAGCTGTAATTCTTCCAGTACTGCTCTACGCTTGCGAAACGTGTACTGTGTATCAGCGTCATGCTAAAATGTTGAATCACTTTCATAAAACTGGTATCAGGAAGATGTTTAAAGTCAAATGGCAAGAAAGGATCACAAATATCTTGGTTCTTGATAGGTCAAATCTGCCCAGCATCTACTGAGCGATGCTGAGGAATTATCAGCTGCGTTTGGCCTGTCACCTAGCTCGCATGCCAGACTATCGCCTCCCTATGAGGATATTTTAGAAAGGGAAGAGGTCCCAGGGAAAACAGAAAAAGCGCTACAAGGACACACTCAAAACTGCTCTGAATTCATTTGGCATCAAAACAGCAGCAGGGAGGCTGCTTCACATGGCCGTTTTGATCACCTACGTCCCTCAGGTATGGTGCGTCAGCCTACCATACAGCGCTAGGTGCGCCGGCAGAGAAACGGCGGCAGACTAGAAAGAATCGTACTGCTAATCCCAAACCTACTGCGGCTTCCATCTGTTGTCTGCACTGCTCAAGAACTTTCCAGGCTCATATTGGACTAATCAGCCATCTTTGTACTCATAATCATTGATCATTACTTGTTTGGATGAAATGTGGTCTTCATCTCTCGTGATGGACGATTAGTTGATAGATAGTGAATTCTGAAATGTGGCTTGACCGTTCGCTAAGTGAATTCTGAAATGTGGCTTGACCGTTCGCTAATATTGTGAATGGGAGCCCTGGGATTTTCTATGATTGGTCATAAACGGACATTAATCACGGACTCCCAGTTGCTTTCCAACTATAGACACAATTAATTCTGCATTCGTAAATGCGAAAGGAAAGATTGTTTCTTCTGTAGATAACTTGAAGAGAAGTTGGTAAATCTGTAGATTAGTTTTTCAGACGATGTACATTATCATTGGGCTAATTCGTCACTGTGGAGCCACCTTGGTATAGCGGCTAGAAGCTCACATGCGGATCCGAAAGTCATGGGTTTAAATCCTAACGAAGCCGGACTTTACAAAAAAATGACATTGGCTCCCAGGTCAACCTAGACTTAAATGAGAACCAGGTAAAAGAAACAACTGTGTGATTTATACCACATCAGCCACCTAGTACCGCTTGGTCAATACAAAACAGGTCTAGACTGAACACGCCTGAAGAATCGTTAACTTTGACAGTTCTCAGTTCTTTCGTTGTTGTGCTTTTGGACAATCATTTGTGAATCGCGAACAAGATCTGAATATTTAAGAAAACTAACTCACAACAGCATCAGATCTTGAAAACTGAAAAACTGTAGGAATATTACAATCAAGAGGACAAAGACATACCAGCAATTAAAGGCGGGTTGCTGAAACAGCAGTAACTGAAGGCGGGTTACTGAAAGAGTAACAACAGAAAGTGAGTTACTGAAAGAGAAACAATGAAAGGCGGGTTACTGAAAGAGAAACAATAAGAGGCGGGTCACTGAAACAGCAGCAATGGAAGGAGGGTTGCTGAAACAGTTACACTGAAAGGCGGGTTGGCGAAAGAGGAACAATGGAAGGAGGGTTGCTGAAAGAAGAGACACTTGCCGATCAGTACGGAGGCTGACATAGGGAGAGTATTTTGTGACGTAAACAGTTAATGAAACTACAGAACTTACATTGGTAGCACTGAGCTGTGCCTCCAGATACTGGCCATTTTCATACGTGTCTGAAGAGATAAATCAGGACAGGTGAGCCACGATCTACGTATTCCACACAGTCGTTTCTCTGTTGTATATCTAAACTTGTAGCTGTACCGTCCTAGAGTCTAACACAACAGCTATCAGGAGTTGACAGAATTTATATAGGAAACATGACGAGCATCCAACTCCAAGGGTTCTCTGTCTTTGGGATCTTGCTCCTCCCTAGCTCATCTTTGAGATGTGTTGTAACTTGTAACCACGCCCTGTATAACCAGAGAAGCACAACAGAGTGGCCAAGTTGGATGGCTAGTTTGTAGATTTGGCTGCAGGCCTGATGTTCATGGCATTAAATACCCATCTTTCTTAAATGTTCCAGTTTTCTAGACAAAGCATCACGGTCTACTGGGTTTGTAAATTGTTGCTGTGTTTGTTATTCGACCTATGCTTGGTTAATATAAGTTTCTGTAACCTATGGTGCCATTTCAATGGTTTGAGATTAATTCTGTCCGTATTCCATAGTTGTGGATGTCAAGCTGTACGACAGACATATCCAATTAAGACAACTTTCTAGGAGTGCCTAGTTGGTTATGTTCTTAGTACATTTGTTGCCACAACGACGCGCACACGCTATTTGGAGGTGACAGGTTCACTCCCGGCAAGTAAACTAGCTTTCTATTTGTATGTTGTCCAGTGTGTCTTCTATCTCTCTACTGCTCTCCATGAGTGCCGATGAATACATTGTCTGTTTGTGTGTGTGTGTGTGTGTGTGTGTGTGTGTGTGTGTGTGTATATATATATATACACACACACACACACACATAGCCTTAAAAAATATAGAGCCACTATAGGATGATGCCAAAATATCACAACGTATAGGCCCTTTATGAGAGTGAGTGTGTGTGTGTGTTTGTTTTATTTGATTATTTAGTACAAGAAAGAACACTGCCACTGTCTACATAAGAAATGTTTCATCGGGTGGCTCATATTCCCACACTTGCTGAGTTGACCACACATCTCCCACACTTGCTGAGTTGACCACACATCTCCTACACTTGCTGAGTTGACCACATATAGCTCACACACTTGCTGAGTTGACCACATATAGCTCACACACTTGCTGAGTTGACCACATATAGCTCACACACTTGCTGAGTTGACCACATGTAGCTCACACACTTGCTGAGTTAACCACATATAGCTCACACACTTGCTGAGTTGACCACATATAGCTCACACACTTGTTGAGTTGACCACATATAGCTCACACGCTTGCTGAGTTGACCACACATCTCCTACACTTGCTGAGTTGACCACATATAGCTTACAAACTTGCTGAGTTGACCACATATAGCTGACATACTTGCTGAGTTGACCACATATAGCTGACATACTTGCTGAGTTGACCACATATAGCTCACACACTTGCTGACTTGACCACATATAGCTCACACGCTTGTTGAGTTGACCACATATATCTCACACACTTGCTAAGTTGACCACATATAGCTCACACACTTGCTGAGTTGACCACATATCTCCCACACTTGCTGAGTTGACCACATATAGCTCACACACTTGCTGAGTTGACCACATATAGCTCACACGCTTGTTGAGTTGACCACATATAGCTCACACGCTTGCTGAGTTGACCACATATAGCTCACACACTTGCTGAGTTGACCACATATAGCTGACATACTTGCTGAGTTGACCACATATAGCTCAAACACTTGCTGAGTTGACCCCATATAGCTCACACACTTGCTGAGTTGACCACATATAGCTGACATACTTGCTGAGTTGACCACATATAGCTCACACACTTGCTGAGTTGACCACATATAGCTCACACACTTGCTGAGTTGACCACATATAGCTGACATACTTGCTGAGATGACCACATATAGCTGACATACTTGCTGAGTTGACCACATATAGCTGACATACTTGCTGAGTTGACCACATATAGCTCACACGCTTGTTGAGTTGACCACATATAGCTCACACGCTTGCTGAGTTGACCACATATAGCTCACACACTTGCTGAGTTGACCACATATAGCTCACACGCTTGCTGAGTTGACCACACATCTCCTACACTTGCTGAGTTGACCACATATAGCTGACATACTTGCTGAGTTGACCACATATAGCTGACATACTTGCTGAGTTGACCACATATAGCTGACATACTTGCTGAGTTGACCACATATAGCTCACACACTTGCTGACTTGACCACATATAGCTCACACACTTGCTGAGTTGACCACATATAGCTCACACACTTGCTAAGTTGACCACATATCTCCCACACTTGCTGAGTTGACCACATATAGCTCACACGCTTGCTGAGTTGACCACATATAGCTCACACACTTGCTGAGTTGACCACATATCTAACACACTTGCTGAGTTGACCACATATAGCTCACACACTTGCTGAGTTGACCACATATAGCTCACACACTTGCTGAGTTGACCACATATAGCTCACACACTTGCTGAGTTGACCACACATCTCCTACACTTGCTGAGTTGACCACATGTAGCTCACACACTTGCTGAGTTGACCACATATAGCTGACATACTTGCTGAGTTGACCACATATAGCTGACATACTTGCTGAGTTGACCACATATAGCTCCCACACTTGCTGACTTGACCACATATAGCTCACACACTTGCTGAGTTGACCACATATATCTCACACACTTGCTAAGTTGACCACATATCTAACACACACTTGCTGAGTTGACCACACATCTCCCACACTTGCTGAGTTGACCACATATAGCTCACACACTTGCTGAGTTAACCACATATAGCTCACACGCTTGTTGAGTTGACCACATATAGCTCACACGCTTGCTGAGTTGACCACATATAGCTCACACGCTTGTTGAGTTGACCACATATATCTCACACACTTGCTGAGTTGACCACATATAGCTCACACGCTTGCTGAGTTGACCACACATCTCCTACACTTGCTGAGTTGACCACATATAGCTGACATACTTGCTGAGTTGACCACATATAGCTGACATACTTGCTGAGTTGACCACATATAGCTGACACACTTGCTGAGTTGACCACATATAGCTCACACACTTGCTGACTTGACCACATATAGCTCACACACTTGCTGAGTTGACCACATATAGCTCACACGCTTGCTAAGTTGACCACATATCTCCCACACTTGCTGAGTTGACCACATATAGCTCACACACTTGCTGAGTTGACCACATATAGCTGACATATTTGCTGAGTTGACCACATATAGCTCACACACTTGCTGACTTGACCACATATAGCTCACACACTTGCTGAGTTGACCACATATAGCTCACACGCTTGCTAAGTTGACCGCATATAGCTCACACACTTGCTGAGTTGACCACATATAGCTCACACGCTTGCTGAGTTGACCACACATCTAACACGCTTGCTGAGTTGACCACACATCTAACACGCTTGCTGAGTTGACCACACATCTAACACGCTTGCTGAGTTGACCACACATCTAACACGCTTGCTGAGTTGACCACACATCTAACACGCTTGCTGAGTTGACCACATATTCAAAGCCGTTTTAAACGGAAGCAGTTTAAGCCCCAAACAATGATTTCCGGCGTTGAAGACAATGGGTCGTCTCCCGACAGAGAGACATCACTATCTGATGTTTTGAACCTTACAGACACAAATTCCAAGCAAAAGACAATCATATACTGACATATTGATACACGTGCTAACATGCGGACACACAAATTCCTGGCAGGAATCTCCCCAAGTAGGTTCTTCAATGTGCTCATTCATAAAATCACATGTATTTTAAAACAAACACAAAAGCAGACACTTACTACTCATAGAATCCCATTCGTGCTGTGGTGATCACGGGTATCAGAAAAGAAGGCGAGGTGACACTACCGGAATCAACTGATATTGACGCATGTGGTAGACTGCACAGGCATATCAGTGACAATACAGTCCTGCTAGTAACCATCCGTTTCCAGGTTCCATTCTACACATGGCAAGCTAACAATGTGTTGGCGGAATCGGTGTCCTCATAATAGCAGTGTGTTAATTTGGAGATGAAACTTAGAGACTTACTTATAGAGACACCATCATCCCAAAAGATGCTGCCTCCAGCACGCCCATCCCCATCTAAGGCAGCGACTAAAGTTAGAGGCAACCTGCGACTGAACACAAAATAGAAGTTCTCATCAATGGTGAAAGCGTAAAACCACATTTGATAAAAGTGTAAAACAACTGACGATGAGGTGGTAAAATAATATACCGTGAAGCAGTAAAACAACTTGATTAGAAATAGTTAAATAACATGTGAAGTAGCGAAACAGTCCAGACAGCGAAACACTAGAGCAGCATAACCGGTCAAGCAGTGAAACAGTCCAGACAGCTAAACACTAGAGCAGCATAACCGGTCAAGCAGTGAAACAGTCCAGACAGCGAAACATTAAAGTAGCACAGCTACAGTGAAACAGTACAAACAGAGAAACATTAAAGTAGCACAGCTACAGTGAAACAGTACAAACAGAGAAACATTAAAGTAGCACAGCTACAGTGAAACAGTACAAACAGAGAAACACTAGAGTAGCACATTGAATCGAAACCATAGCATGAGGGACATTCCCATAAGCGCTACTTTCCCATCTTCAGCACACAAGCACATAATTCTGATTCCGATGGGACCAGTAACAGTCTGAATGTATATCCCTCTCGCCTCCCCCTTGAGTGTTGAGCGTCGGCCAGATTCCCTGGTAACTCCTCGCAGCGCCATTTTCCCTCAGACCGTAATGATCTATGTGTGTGTGTCTCTGGGTGTGGGTATGTCTGTGTGTGTGTGTCTCTGTGTGTGTGTCTCTGTGTGTGTGTCTCTGTGTGTGTGTCTCTGTGTGTGTGTCTCTGTGTGTGTGTCTGTGTGTGTCTCTGTGTGTAGGTATGTCTGTGTGTGTCTCTGTGTGTCTCTGTATGTGTGTCTCTGTGTGTGTGTCTCTGTGTGTGTGTCTATGGTGTGTCTCTGGGTGTGGGTATGTCTGTGTGTGTCTCTGTGTGTGTGTCTGTGTGTGTGTGTCTCTGTGTGTGTGTCTCTGGGTGTGTGTCTCTGTGTGTGTGTCTCTGGGTGTGGGTATGTCTGTGTGTGTCTCTGTGTGTGTGTCTCTGTGTGTGTGTCTCTGTGTGTGTGTCTCTGTGTGTGTGTCTCTGGGTGTGGGTATGTCTGTGTGTGTCTCTGTGTGTGTGTCTGTGTGTGTGTGTCTCTGTGTGTGTGTCTCTGGGTGTGTGTCTCTGTGTGTGTGTCTCTGTGTGTGTGTGTCTGTGTGTGTGTGTCTCTGTGTGTGTGTCTCTGGGTGTGTGTCTCTGTGTGTGTGTCTCTGGGTGTGGGTATGTCTGTGTGTGTGTCTCTGTGTGTGTGTCTCTGTGTGTGTGTCTCTGGGTGTGTGTCTGTGTGTGTGTGTCTCTGTGTGTGTCTGTGTGTGTGTGTGTCTCTGTGTGTGTGTCTCTGGGTGTGTGTCTCTGTATGTGTGTCTCTGTGTGTGTGTCTGTGTGTGTGTGTCTCTGTGTGTGTGTGTCTCTGGGTGTGTGTGTGTGTCTTTGGGTGTGTGTCTCTGGGTGGGTTTATGTCTGTGTGTGTCTCTGTGTGTGTGTCTCTGCGTGGGTTTATGTCTGTGTG